TCTGCTCTTATCCTACTTTTGGATACCTTGTCTGGGGCACACTACATTTTAGTGCGCTGTAAAAGCTGATTCACCAAGGTCGTCTGTTGCGCTAAGGTGCTTGTCAACTTTATGACTTGTTGAGACATGTGTTGTTTGTCATTTGGGTTGGAAAAGCTTGGACGTTATGCGTCTCCTTGAGTAGTGGAAGTGTAATGGACTCTGGGCGTGAAATTTGAATTGGGATATGTCAAATCTGCGGTGAAATACGGTGAAAATACCCCCGATTTAGTCGTCGGTCAAAAAATTTGAAGCGGAGATGGTTAAACCAGTCTTAGACCGATTAGGATGGCCAGAGGGCCACCGGAGCAAGCTAGACTTTGGATTGGACCATGGGAGTGGGTCGAGTTGTCGGAGTAGGTTGGGCCGCTGGCATGGATTGCCTAGCGTGCGGTGCGCGTGGACGCTGGGCCTGGGCTCGCTCTGGGTTGCTTCTTCTGCCGTAGTTGCTTGGGCTTGCGCTGCTGAGGTAGTGACTCGTACCAACTCGTGCTGGGCTTGGCTCAGCTGCATTGCAGCGTGGGCTGCAATTGGGCTATGAGCCAAGTAGACGAGGCTTAAGCCTGCGCTGCTGGGGTAGCGGCTTGGGCTGTTTATAACACCTGGGCATGCTGCTATGGAGTTGGCCCACTCCCCACTGCCACGGTGGTCCTCGTGGTTGCCATAGTGGTGGTGCCCCTTGGTGGTTGCCATCGTATTGAGCCTCGTGGATCGTCGTGGTGGAGCTATGTCTCGTCCTCCATCATTTGATCCGAATCTTTGAATGTAGGAAGTTTTGTTCGTTGTGATTTCCGAATTTCCCGCCATTGTATTTTTTCCTTACCTCTGTTTAAAGAATTAAATAATTCTAGGAATAAGGAAGTATGAAAAATTTACGAACGAACAAGAAACGAGAAACTTTGAATGCGAGAGTCTTCTTCGAGAGTGTGAATCAAACTCTTAATGAAAGAACCAATTTGTGGATGTAAATTTTCACCGTCTTCTTCTTTGACGAAAATGCACCTTCAAAATAATAACACCTAAGATTGAGGCCAAAAGCCTCACGTGCCCATGATGAATGGGAGGGCTTTGGCCGGAGAATCTCCGATGCCAAAGTTAGAAATTGGGTTAAGAGCCAAGTAGACGAGGCGTAGAGTTTGTGGGTAGCCAATTGTATAGCTTTTTATTGGGAAAATAGGGCTATTTATAGGGGAGTGACCGGTCCTATTTGGAGAATAAGGGCCGGCCATATATGGTCAAATTGTGAGTAAAATTGCAAGATATTATTTCACATAATATCTTGCAATTAACTTGGCAATTAACTTAAATTGGATAGGAAAATTAGGAGTTACCTTTTGAATAAGGATTTGATGAGGAGTGATGAGATGGATTTGAATAAATATCATTTTGATCACCTTTGACTCTTGCTTGATTGAGCCATTATTATCTGTTGCATATGCATGAGAATCCCGGTATGCCTCGAGGGTACTTTTGTCATTTCCACCCAAAAATCCACGTGTCACCTCCATAATTTTCTTGATTATTTTTTGCTCCACAATATTTGTCTCCAAAGATAAATATTTTCAATACACATCTTAAAAAAAATAATAAAACATTATATTTAAATAGGTACAATAGTATTTTAATTAAGTTAAACAACACATAGTTGTTGATGTGTTAGTGTTGTATTATATTATTTAATACAAAGGAGAACATGATACCAATGAAAACACATAGGAGTTGATGTGTGAGTTTTGTGTGCATTGGAATTAAAGTATAGTTCATTGTTTCTCAACTTTTTTTCAAGGAAAACACGATATATATTTCATTCATAAAAGGGGAACATAAAAGATTCAATACAAATGAAGAGCATGACACCAATAAGAGGGTACTTGCAAACAAAAATCTGAAACTATAACATATTCAAGAAACTGAAAGAGACGAAAGATTCGTAGAAACCAATAAATCTCGTACTACATGATCATATGAGAGATCCAAGCTCTCATAGCCAATTAATTGTTAGGCAGAAAAATGTTAGGCTTTTATTTGGACTCTACGAAGAAGAAAATCAGCTTCATTGGCTCGGACATCTACCGCTCGTGCCCGCCCATTATGTCTCGCCCTAAATGAAATGGTTCTCTTATTTAGGCGCCCGAATCACCTTATGATTCCAAATTACCATTTATAGTCCATATCCAACAAAACTCAACCAGCTCACCTCAAGTACTATATACTATACTATAAATGAAATTATTACAAAAATAAAATAAAATACTAGGGTATATGTAAACGAATAACTAAAAAAATATAGGTGATGGGCATTTCATGATGCAAGGGATTGGTGGTAGAATTGTCAATACATGGCAACATGAAAGGAAGAAAGAATATGAATAACTTCCTTTAAATTCTTTAAACAAATAAAATATATGTAATGTCTAATTAAAATATAGAGTTCTTTATATATAGAGTCTTGCAACTCTTATTTTCTAGATAAAAATCCACCTAATTTTTAAACATCCAAATAAAACTCAAATTTGAAAATGACTGCCAAATAGAAAAGTAATTGACATATTATTACAAGATATTTACAACTTGTGCCACATCAAATCAATAAATATTATTACTTTCCTTAATTATAATGAACAAATAATTATTACCCCTAACATATACATACATACATACATACATACATATATATATATATACACACATTCAAAAGAATACAGTACTAATATAAAAATACATACGTTCAAAAGCATATCGTACTACTTTTTATAAATACATTCAAACGTATAGTGTACTGCTATAAATATACATACATTCAATAGTATATTGTACTACTAAAAGTTATATATATATAATTTCCTTATATGTATATAGTACTATTACACGTTCAAATATATATATGCGTAGTACTAACATATATTAAAAAAATTATTATATGTAAGATCCCACATCAACTAACGGATAAGGGGTGATGTGTCTTATATGTACATACTTTCCTCCTATAGCACGAGGCCTTTTGGGAACTCATTGGCTTCAGATTCTATCGAAACTTCGAAGTTAAGCGAGTTTGGGCGAGGGCAATTCTAGGATGGGCGACCCATTGGGAAGTTCAAGTCTAAGTTCCCAGAAACATATCCGTGAGGGACTCGTAAGCCCAAATCTGACAATATCGTGTTACAGCGGAGTCGAGACTAGGATGTGACAGAATGGTATCAGAGCTGCCTTATATGTACATGTTCCCCTCCCTATAGCATGAGGCATTTTGGGAACTCATTGGCTTCAGATTCCATTGGAACTCCGAAGTTAAGCGAGTTCGAGCGAGAGCAATCCTACGATGGGTGATCCACTGTGAAGTTCTCGTCTGAATTCCCAGAAACAAAACCGTGATGGTGTGGCTAGGGCCCAAAGCGGACAATATCGTGCTATGGCGGATTCGAGACGGGGATGTGATAGAATGGTATCAGAGCCACTCTGTCGTTCGGTGAGGATGTGCTGCCGAGGATGCCGGGTTCCCCTTAAGTGGAATGGATTGTAAGATCCCATATTGACCAACGAAGAGGGGGTGGCAAACAATAACGTGCTACGGCGAATTCGAGATTGGAATGTGACAGAATGGTATCAGAGTCACTCTGCCATTCGATGCGGATGTGCTGGCGAAGACGCCGAGATCCCCTTAAGTGGGGTGGATTGTAAGATCCCACATTGACCAACGGAGAGAGGGAGAGGGGGTGATGTGCCTTATATGTGCATGTAGGTAAGCGATTTCGAGCAAGAGCAATCTTAGGATGGGTGACCCACTGGGAAGTTCTCGTTTGAGTTCCCAAAAACAAATCCATGAGGGAATGGTAAGCCCAAAGCGGACAATATCGTGCTACGGCGAAGTCGAGACTAGGATGTGACATTATATGTAATTAATTTACCTATATGTAAATTTATGATTAGCAAATAATATAATTTGTAAGTAAATTAATAATATTTTGTAGGTAAAGTAGTATTAAATAAAATAATATTGCTTTATCATGTAGGTAAATTATTTTTCATGTATTTTACATAGATATATAGGGTAAATTATTTTGAGCAATCTAACATTTTAAAATTTTAATAGTAGGTGCACTATTTGAACCAAATAACATTATTTTTTTAGGTAAATTATTTTGCATGAATTTTTACATATATTAGGCATTTTTTTTATATGTGTGTGTAATTTACCAACATTAATATGTAAAATATAATTTTAGTGACTTAACTAAGCATGTATATATATTGGACATGTTCTATATTGTTATTATATATTAGACAATGAATTTATAACATTAAACATAAATGTTTTTTTAGTAAAATAATTCATTCTGCCTTATAATTCGCATGACATTAATTGTGTACATCAAACATTCAATATGGGTATTTTAGGCATCCATAAAATTTTAAATTTGTTAAGTCAAACATAATTAATGAATTTGCTGATATGGAATCTAGTAAATGGGTTTTATTCGAGTAAAAACACTTATGTCGGGTTTTATTTGGAGAAAATTAAGTTTTAGGAGTTAAAGTTATATTTTTAGTTAAATATAAGGAACTTTAACAAAAAGCTCTGGATACTGTTTACATTAACGAAAAATCATATTTTTACTCTAAAAAGTTAATGATGATATTATTCACTTACAACACATTTTTGTCTTTTTTGTTAGAACTCAAAATTTTCAAATTTTGTTTTATTAGTTTTTTAAATATATGATAAAATATTTCTACTCTGATTTCAGCCTTTCTTTTTGCTTATATAAAGCCATTCTCCTCCACCTGAAGATCCATGACTCCTTTGCTTGAAGTGGCAAAGTCATAGTAGAAGAAATATCCACGACCCCTCAACCCTAGTCTTCACACACACACTCTCTCTCTCTCTCTCTCTCTCTGAGCTAGGGTTTTATGGGACATGGGCAATCTTCTATCCTCAGATTTCATTTTTTGGTTATATAATAGCAGTGGTGAAGAGAGCTTTCTTTAGTCCATTCATGGGTGGCGACAGGATTTAATTAGCTGCCGAGTCATTCATCCAAATACTGGGTTATTAGCTCAGGACGACACCCAGTAAATGTGTGAATGAAGCGGGAGACAAATTGGATCTTGAGCTTCCTGTACTTGGACTGAAGGGAGCTCCCTTAATTAATTACTTCAGTTCCTCTTTGTTTAATTTTTACCATGCTTTAATTCGTATATATACTTAATTAATTGCTTCAATCTCTTTAATTTTTTTCGTTTACCTTATATTATTACTAATATATGAGTTATAAAATGTTTAATCACTCCATGGAAAGATTCATCTCAGTTCCATCTATCCCTATTTGATATGAGCTATGATTGATGAGCTTGAATTTATCCCTTCAGTATTCTTAGCCCATATCTAGATTAGCTTGACTTTTCGCTTATATAAGTTTATCTTGTCGGTTAACTAAAGAGGATCTTTATATATTACTGCCTTATATAAAATTAATTTAGTTAGCTATATATCTATCTATCTATTTCTATCTTAGCTTTGGATATGTGGATAAAGTAATTGTTATCTTCAGTTTCAGCTAGGGTTATGCTATATATGTTCCTCTTTCTAGGAGGATTTATCAAAACATGTCAGCTGGATTGGTTGAGTTCGATTTCCATTGCTCCGAATCATTTTTTGTTCGGTTCTGCCTCTGCTCCCTCACTCACAGTATCCCAGCTGAAACTCTGAATTTATTTATTTTTCTTAACTTAAATCCAACATATTGGTCGACAAAGAAGCACTTGTAATTTCTTTTTCCCCCAAAGTCTATGTATCTGTGAGTTCTATTGCAGTTAGGGTTTTGTAAATGATGCTGCTAATCTGTGGACTGCGGTTGAGAGGAATAAAATAATGAAGGCAAGGCATGAAGAAGAAGAGAGGAAGCCTACAAATTAAGCTCACACGCTCACACGCTTTACAACATTAGCTTCTTGGTTCTTGATCTCCCACAGCAACAAGTTCCCAGACATGTCTCCCACAGGCTCTGCTTCAATTACCAAAATGTCCTCTCATATATGTGTGGATACGTTTTTATTTATTTAGAGCTGGTTAGAAACTATTTATTAGGAAAAGGTTTTGTTGTTGTTCTAGAATTGACTAGAAAATTTTTAAAAATAATGTTCACTTAATTTCTTTGGGTTTTAATTTGTATCCATATTTTCTTCAATGCCTATATTCTACTATACACGGTGCAGATTTAATGTTCTTTTTTTCTTCCGTGTTGGAGTAGCCGAAATTGAAGGAAAGATGAGAGAAAATCGGTTACGATGATTTGGACATGTGAAACGAAGACCTACTGACGCTCCGATTAGAAGATATGATTACTGAACAGAAGTTCAGGACCAAGGAGATAGAGGAAGACCTAGAAGGATTTTGGAAGACTCTAAGAAAAGACTTAGAGTACTTGAATTGAACGGAACATGTGACACAGAACCGAACACAATAGTGCTTTAGGATTCATATAATGAACCTTATTTAGTAAGAAAATGTTTTGTTGTTGTCATCGTCGTCAATAGTCAAGATCTATAATACAACTCTCTCTCTCTAAGCATATATTGACGCATGTGTTTTTTTAAACAAGAAACTAATTACAAATCCAATTGTAATCGAAAAATAATATTGTTTGAAGAGAATCAGCAAATCATACACAAGGATGGTCGTATTAATGTGGTTCATGTGTTTTTGTTAAATTTGGGCAAAAACATGTTTTTTTTTGTTTCTTGTGTGGTAGCTAGAAAATCTCATGCAACCTAACACCTAAAAGAAGGAACAATCGTATGGACTTCTTTACAACGCTTGTCACGCAGTGATCAGTTATTCAGCTAGTGCGGTGAATACTATGTCCCCATTATTCTTATTAAGCGCATATCTCCAAATCATAAGCAAAAACTATAATTATGTTGTGCTCTATGTATGTTAATGTATACATGAGCGTGAGACTTGAGGGTTTAGTGTTTTAATTTCATCAGGTACTTCATAACAGGGCCTGGCATAGTTACATGCAAATGAGTGACAGGTGCCTCACCTGCTTTTATACTTAATTACCTTCCCGAAAACGAATCTCTGAATAGAAAATACTCCCCAAGTCCCAATCACAGATGTCTCTACCAGTACAAGAGCTGCCTTCCATTTTACTTGTTACCTCTGCAACTCCACCAAATATGCATACAAGCTTTACCTCTCTCGCTCTCTCTCTCTCAAAATCCATCGGTTCTTCCAAGCTTTACCTCTCTCTCTCTCTCTCTCTCTCTCTCTCTCTCTCTCAAAATCCATCGGTACTTCTCTCGTGCTCTTGATTGATTATTGTACCCATCTTTAACAAACATTACCAGTGCCCTTTTGTCATTTCAGTATATATGCAAGTGACCCCTTATCACAGTGATGGAAAAAAGTTGTGCTCTTGCATAACGGCGTGGGTTCGAACTGCGTTAGTGTCTAATTTAACAAAATCTATCGTTTGACAAAAAAAATGCATATACTTTGTGACAAGGTTGCTTTCACAAATCATTTTTATGTTTTGGCAACGTATCAGTTTGGCCTTTTATGTTTTAACTCATCAATTTGGTTATTTATTGCCTTGCACATCACAACTTTCCTTGCTGTCATTTTCTGTTAAAAAAATTTGTTAGTGTGTTGATGTGGCATTATGTATGGCCTATATAACTAATCATGTGTGATGCCATTTGTATTATATAAAAAAAATCAAATTTTTAAGAAATAGTGTTAAACTTTCAAACCATAAAATCATTAAACAAACTTCAAACAAGGGGTGGTCCAGATCGGAATCCTGATTTGAAAATGGTAACCCAAATTCCGAATTAATCCCTTTTGGGACGGGATTCCGAAAACTTATACTAAACTGAAATTTCGCTATTCTCGAATTTCAGGATTCTTGAATTTTTTTCGAAATTGCAATGGATTCGGGATCCAGAAGAACAAACAAAAAGCACCAAAAAAGCCTCCCAAAAAAGATGTAATCGTGGAGCCAAAAATAATTCCAAAAATCATGGGGGTGGCATGTGAATTTTTGGACAAAAAAGACGAGATTACTCTCGTTAGATGGACGAGGCACACCTGAATTCCCATACGCATGAACGGACAATAACAGCTCAAGATTCCTCCATCCATAGAAGAGTCAAAGGCGATCATCATGGAATTTATTCAAATTCCACTCACCAATACTTGACCAATCCCGAAACTATTGAGCACTGGTCAACGTTATACCATCAAGGACCCAGAAGAGTTTCCCTCTAACCAGGAGGCCAATCACAGCGTGACACGTGTCGACATCAGAAGCCAATCATAGTGTGACACGTGTCAACATCAGAAGCCAATCATAACACGACACGTGTCAATGTCAGAATGAAACTAGAAACTCTCTTCTATAAATAGAGATCATTCTCTTACAATATTTTCGAATGTCATTTGTACTAAATCATTCACTAGTACTCACTAAAGGAGAGCATGAACCTATGTACTTGTGTAAACCCTGCACAATTAATGAGAACTCCTCTACTCTGTGGACGTAGCCAATCTGGGTGAACCATGTACATCTTGTGTTTGCTTCCCTGTCCCTATTCATTTACTTACTTATCCACACTAGTGACCGGAGCAATCTAGTGAAGGTCACAACTTAACATTTTCTGTTGTACCAAAGTCCTCACTGATTTTGTGCATCAATATTTGGCGCCGTCTGTGGGAACGGCATTTATTCTCACTCTCTTTAGCTTTGTTAAGCTGGTTTCCACCATTCGTACACTCTCTTTTGACCAGGCATCCCTCTCCAACATAGGGAGCGAAGGAAGCCACAACACACAGAATGAGACCCCTCTTGTACCTAGTGCGAATCAACGAAAGAAGAAAGGAAAGAAGGTTGCTCTTCAAGCTAAAGTCGATGAGCTAGAAGCTCAAAACAACAAGATAGTAATGAAGAATGAGGTTCTCCAGGGGCAGTATGAGAAGCTCTTTGAGACGCTCCACGAAACTATGCGAACTCAAACATGTGAGCTTGTTGCCCCTGTGGACATCAACCATCATCTGGGCGCCCTCCAACACGAAGGGTCACCTTCTTTCGACATGGGTATCCCTGATGAAGAGCGAGCTAATCATCAAAACATTGATCAACATGAGACTTCTCTCAACCCAGCTGCTTCGACCCGAAGCAGGAGAAGTGGAGGAAGACACCTCCTTGCAGAAGGGTTGGAAGGATCGAAAGCCGTTTATTGTGACTACCGAGACTTCCTAAAGCAACGTCGAGAGAATCCCTTCCACATATGCTCGAAGATCAATGACCCAAGGGTTTCTGAAAAACTCAGTCCCCTCCTACGACCCAGGCCAGCTGCCAATCTAGGGAAGGAACAACATGTCCTAGAGGAACATGAAGGTACATGGGACTCTAAGGTATTCCGACAGACTCGCCCTAGTCCAAGGAAAAATCATACGCCCTTGCTCAAACTTTCCTACTTCCAAGAGGCGATGGAGACTTACGAAAGAAAATCCCAGTGGTAAATAACTCCACTCAAGACCCCTTTGTCCTATAGCTCATTGAGGAAGTAAACAAGTTAAAGGTCGAACGTCAGGCCGAGATACCTTACTGGAACCAACCCAGGCCTGGCCCTCTCACAAGGAGGATCCTTGACACCCCCTTCAAGCCAAGACAAAACAAAAGCTTGGTTTACAACTTTATATTAGAAGGGAAGACCCAATTGAACACCTTAACCTCTTTGAGTCCACCATGGCATATCGGATGCACACCGATGAAGAGCGATGTCTTCTCTTCCCCTCCACCCTCTCTGGCAGAGCTCTAAACTGGTATTGTCATCTTCCACCTGAGACAGTAGACTCATTTGAGGAACTGAGGAAATTGTTTGTCTCTCAACACATCTTTTAGACCGATCTCTTGCATTCTGCAGATGACTTGTACATTATTCGCCAGAAGCCAAACAAGTCACTACGAGAGTATGCCGGTCGTTTCAGCCATGAGTATTCTCGCTGTGCTGGGGCAGATGACAAGAGGACCCTCAAGGCTTTCACGACAGGCCTACGTGATTGTTTCTTCAAGTACATGATCAATGCCAACACTTGGAAGACTACTTTGAGGTGATGGCACAGGCTTACAACCATGCCTCCGCCGAGGCA